GCATGGTGATCACTAATTAACTCTTGCACTAATGATCAGTGGACAGCATTGTCTAAGAGACCATGACCTATTACATAATCAAGCCTTCCACCCGAGAGATGGGTGACATTAGATGGGTTTAGATAAAAAAATTGTTTTCCTGAGGTATTTTACAAAGACTGAACCATTTATTTTTGTTGTATCATCCCTTAACTTATTGTCTTGCATTAAAGTCGCCCATTATGATGGTTTCAGGGTTGCTATGATCTATGCTATGAGGAAGAGATATCTAAATCATTCTGTTACATCTCACATAGATGTTGCAGAGGTAGAAGGGACAATCTCTGTGGATATCTGAAACTTCTGATAACTGGTGTCTTCACTCTTATGATTGTTAATATGTTTACAGACCAGACCACTTTTAACATATGTTAGTATGCCTACATCATAACGTCCTGCGTTCGAAAAAGATACGTACCGTGGGAGTCTCGGTGGTGTCTTGTGTAAGGTGTTAGATGTATATGGTTCTTGCAAGCAAACTACATCAACATTATTGTTACCTACATACATAATAATACCAGCAAGTCTCTTGCGCACACTGCACACATTCCAGGACAGGAACGTGAAGATCCTTGTTGTTATGTTAGCCATCGTGGCCATTCTGCTTCCCAGTTCCATCTCTAATTTTGAGTTAATCATATTAACGACATTAAACAAGGTGATTAGGTATTCTTTCACGGTTTCATACTGTGTCTCCTTCCAAACATCTTGCCACTCTCTCCTTGTCAGGGGATTTATCCTGCAGTCGTAGAAGGAATCAATGTTCATCATGGACGCGTCACTACAAGTCGCACTCCACAGTTGCACGGCACTGAGGTGGGATGCAACTCTCTGAGCCGGACGCCTCTTTAATTTTGCTGTGTTTATCAGAATTGCAACATGTGGCATCAGCTGGCCGAATGTCTGCATGAGGTGCAAACACACTTCCTACCCTAGGTTCGCTGGTGGTTTGATCCACTACACTTTGCGGTGGGGAAGTTGCACCATCTTTTGTGATTGTTGAGTACGCTCTTTCTGCGCCATTGAGCACATGACCAATTGAAAGAAGAATCAACCGGAGGGTTTTTTTCAATATTTTCAAATTTTTCACTCATTTCCTGTAGAGCACCACTCACGGGAAGAGATGTGGTCGTGATGGACTCCTCAGACGCAGCGTCGGGGTCAGGTGAGGCTTCAGTAGCAGGTTGGACTGAGCGGAAGGGACCACTCCTAGCCGAGTTTGTGGCCAGGGGGCGATTGTGTCGTCCCCGGCTGCATTCATAATGCCAGGCGTTAACACCCGCCTTGCTGCAGCCTGTGCATTTCATGGGAGGTCTGTTGGTCACCTCATTTTCTTCACTACTTGCGTGGTTCAGTTTCCGGGGACAACTTGTAAGGCTGTGGGGACTAGCACACAGCGGGCAGGCTGTGAGGACCAGCACACAGCGGGCAGGCTGTGGGGACCAGCACACAGCGGGCAGGCTGTGGGGACCAGCACACAGCGGGCAGGCTGTGGGGACCAGCACACAGCGGGCAGGCTGTGGGGACCAGCACACAGCGGGCAGGCTGTGGGGACCAGCACACAGCGGGCAGGCTGTGGGGACCAGCACACCGCGGGCAGGCTGTGGGGACCAGCACACAGCGGGCAGGCTGTGGGGACCAGCACACAGCGGGCAGGCTGTGGGGACCAGCACACAGCGGGCAGGCTGTGGGGACCAGCACACAGCGGGCAGGCTGTGGGGACCAGCACACCGCGGGCAGGCTGTGGGGACCAGCACACAGCGGGCAGGCTGTGGGGACCAGCACACAGCGGGCAGGCTGTGGGGACCAGCACACAGCGGGCAGGCTGTGGGGACCAGCACACAGCGGGCAGGCTGTGGGGACCAGCACACAGCGGGCAGGCTGTGGGGACCAGCACACAGCGGGGAGGCTGTGGGGGACCAGCACACAGCGGGGAGGCTGTGGGGGACCAGCACACAGCGGGGAGGCTGTGGGGGACCAGCACACAGCGGGCAGGCTGTGGGGGACCAACACACAGCGGGCAGGCTGTGGGGACCAGCACACAGCAGGCAGGCTGTGGGGACTTGTACTTCCGGTTTCTGGTAGCACTGTCTTGGTTGGTGAAGCTGATGATGCCCACCTTACCCTCAAGAAGGTAGTTATTAGTTCTCTTTGGCTTCTCCCTACAAAAATGTAAGATGATGTAATCCTTGACCGAACTACATCAATGAGGGGGGAGGGGGGGGGTCGCTCCTTGCCTAGGTGGTAGAGAGCACGTTGAGCCATGTGAATTTCTCGGTGTCTATGAAAAAATCGCGGATTTTAGAGAAAACACCATCAATAGTATCCAAAAAATGTGTAAGTACTTCATTCATAATGATGTGCTGCCCGAAATCTCAGCGAAGTATCCAAAATTTGCTTACTGTAGGTAATGCATGCACATGACTGTAAAGCTGCCGCCCAGTTAGGTGGGTGTGGAGCAAGACTAGTAACTGTGAGACTCATCACAGATGTAAAGTGCCTTATTTAGTGATTTGTGAGCCTCTTGTTGAATCGATTGTGACACTAAAGATTATTGATGTGTGTATTTGTGTGGGTGATTAAATATGTATACGTATGTACATGTATGCATGTGTGTACATGTATATATAACATTAATAATTTTGTAACTAGCGTCAAAAGATTATTTGCTTCGCTAAATGAACTAGAGGGTTCAGTTCCTGAACCGATTATGTGCCTCTGTAATCCTTTACACCACCGCCTACGGAATGGGTATGGGGTGCATAATAAAGAAATAGGACTCCGAGACCGTACACCTGGGACACGAGACCCCCAGGTGGGTTGTGGGGCGCACGGAGCGGCTGCCATATCTTCAAATACATAAACAAAAGTCGAATCTCTACGCTTCACAACTTTGAAAGCACTTAATGGGAGTCACACACGCACTGTCAGCGTTCTTAATAATTGGTCTGAAATGTGAGGCTGATCTGTTAGCCTCCACTAGCAAAATCTGGGTACAGCACAAGAATATCTTCCAATATTCCTGAGTGTATGAAGTAATTACAAGAATCCAAAGTACCTCATGCCATTTGGTCTGAAATCACTGAGAACAGGGCAATCACAGATATAGTGTTGGAGAGTATGTCCTAGCTCCTGTTCACATAGTTTACAATTGGAATATTCATGATTGGGGGATTCATTTCCTGCAGCCACTTGCCATAGATGTCCATATCCCAGCCTAATTCTGACAATTACAATGTCACACTGTCTAGTGGATGTTTTATGCTGCCCGTACATATAATTCTCGGTTCTAAACATGTCATAGTTCTTTATACTCGTGCTTTCTGGTCTGTGAGTGTCGGTAACTTCTGTCTTCCCCAATTTCCTGAAATATTGAGGCTTTTACAGCAGAGATTGGAATGCCCATAACCAACTCAATTTCAAGCTTATCACATGCAGTTTTGCATGTATTGTCTGTCTGTGTGTGATCTAAAGTAAACAAAATATATAGATAAGAAGAAATTCAAAGAAAACGGAGATGGCGAGAGGCCATTGATCGTGGCGTGAGCGTGCATGAGGCTTGCACGTGATCGCCGTCCCGCCCCCCCCCACTCATGCTCTACCCCCCCCCCTCATCTCTCTCTCTCTCTCTCTCTCTCTCTCTCTCTCTCTCTCTCTCTCTCTCTCTCTCTCTCTCTCTCTCTCTCTCTCTCTCTCTCTCTCTCTCTCTCTCTCTCTCTCTCTCTCTCTCTCTCTCTCTCTCTCATTGTTGCGACGGACAGCGCTCTCGTAGTGGTCGAAGGATTAGTTCATATCACTTATACATCGTAAAAGATAATTGTAGCAGATGGTGATAGCATTAAATGCAAACTTTTCTTTTACTAATGGTATATATTAGACTTAGCCAAGTTCAGACGAAACTGAAATTGTCGCACTGACCGGATGTCATAGGAATTGCGATAGAATGATCTATTATTAATAGGGACAAATATAGCAACTCTCAAGATATAAACGTATGCCTTATGTGACACTGTTAAATGGAAACATCTGATCATTTCTCTAAAATCTCACAAGATTGGCTGTAATAAACCCACAAGAGACAACTCCTGCATCGCATGAGTGAGTTTCTTAACGTAATGCGTTTTTATCAACGTGCTATTTTAAGCTTTCTTTTATTGTAGCTTTTAAATCTAGCCCTCTAAACCGACGTAGCCGCCACGAAGGCGCTAAGAAGGAAAACATTCGTAGCTAAGAAGAAAAACCTTCGTAAGTACCTTCGTGAATCTGGCCACTTAATACAGCTCTATATACAGATTTTTAACACAAATTATGAAATATATTTATGACGTTCATAGGTGAATTATATATATATATATATATATATATATATATATATATATATATATATATATATATATATATATATATATATATATATATATATATATATATATATATATATATATATAAATGAAGCCTGAGGGCCATGCCGCTCTCCCTATATAGACCCAGTTACAACTGTACCTTCGGTCCTGACTGTACAAATATCTGGGGGATATTTACATTCATTACATCACTGATCTTTCACAATTTACTGGATTGAGTTTCAGCTCCTGGGCTATGATTCTCAACCTCTTTCTAATTGTTTCGTGATAACTGCCTTTTAAATAGAAGTATATTTATAACTGGCCTCTAGTATATTCCTATTTTATATCATATTTCATTACACCACTAAGTATTTTGTGTGTCTAGATCATGTAACTTTTATCTCTCATTCAAGTATGTATAGAGCTCAATTTTTTCAGTCTATCCTTATAGCTCAACTCTCATTTATTAATTCAGGGACTATTAATTCTAATAGAAACCCGGCACTGCACACCTCATACTGAAACCTCGCCTGAGTGAACTAGACCATGCCCCCTTGAATGTTCAGATCAAAGTCCATTGATACAAATAATGGAAAATGGTGGTGGTGGCGGCAGCCGGAGTGGCAGCCATGAGACCCGGGAGGAGGGCGCCCCCTCACACCTGCCTCACCCCTCAGCCAGGCCAGACCTCCCTTTGTGAGTACCTCAGCTGCTTATCCTCCGTCAGTGCCTCACCTCCCTCAGGCAACACCTCTGTGAGTGTCTCAGAACACACTATAGCGTGGGGCTCGAATACCAATTTTCAGGTTAATGGTGTCTGGTGGATGAGGCCTACGGGACGTGTTACGGGATGATAACGTTGGTGTGGAGTGAGAGAGACGGGCCAAAAAGTGTTGGGCCGGGAAGCGGCGGGCCAAGTGTTGGCCGGCGGGGTGACAGCCACGGTCTCGCCCTCCACTTTGTAAACGGAATGTTAACTGCCCACACAGCCTGACACTGGAAAGCTTTACGACTATGTATACACGAAGGCCAGGAGAAAGATAATGTATATGGTATAGTCAGCTCAGTGGCTCTGGTGTTCGTGCAGGTGTTAGACAGGTGAAGGCATGGTGGACGACAGTCACCGTCGACAGGTTTCACAACGCTCTGTGTTGAAACTGTCCGTGACTGTCAAGAACACTTGCTGCAGCGTCAGTGACCCCGGCGAGCAGACACCCGCAGGCGGAGGGTCCCCACCACCACCACCCTCCTGCAGGTGTACATGCATGCAATTGGGGTGGCTTAATTGATTTAGTATTTAATTAGTTCAATATGGACCCCATACCCATCGAAGGGTTAGTCATATGTATGGCGAACACACTTTTAATTTATATATTATGCGGCCGACACCATCCTGTGGCTGGAGGAGGAAATATTAGTTAAATATTGTGTTGAGGAAAGATCTGCAGTACATACAGTAGGCACACTTGGGATACTTGCATGGCCAGTGTTACATACTGAAATAATTTGTCAGAATATAATGTGTGTGTGTGTGTGTGTGTAAAGTTGGAAACCAAACGCTTGCTTCTAGCAAGCAACTACCAACCAACTTCTACCAACTTTGCAGGGTAACTGATGAGGTTTAAGGGGTTTGGGGATGACACTCACGGGGCGGGCGGGTCGGGGTCGGCTCCCATAGTAACCCCCGTGAAATCAGTAGAAGGTGACTAGTAAAGTCCCTAGATTTTCATCGCTATCCATATCTGTAGTATATCTATAGACTGATAGGTCGGTGGGGGCCAGCCTAGCGGTAAATAGGTACCCTGGAGATAGTCAACTGCTGTCGGATTGTGTCCTGAGGAATGTCACTAGTTCGACCTTGGAGAGACCTTGATATAAGCCTACCCCATATATATATATATATATATATATATATATATATATATATATATATATATATATATATATATATATATATATATATATATATATATATATTTGTGTGTGTGTGTGTGTGTGTGTGTGTGTGTGTGTGTGTGTGTGTGTGTGTGTGTGTGTGTGTGTGTGTGTGTGTGTGTGTGTGTGTGTGTGTGTGTGTGTGTGTGTGTGTGTGTGTGTGTGTGTGTGTGTGTGTGTGTGTGTGTGTGTGTGTGTGTGTGTGTACTCACCTAATTGTACTCACCTAATTGTGCTTGCGGGGGTTGAGCTCTGGCTCTTTGGTCCCGCCTCTCAACCGTCAATCAACTGGTGTACAGATTCCTGAGCCTATTGGGCTCTATCATATCTACATTTGAAACTGTGTATGGAGTCAGCCTCCACCACATCACTTCCTAATGCATTCCATTTACTAACTACTCTGACACTGAAAAAGTTCTTTCTAACGTCTCTGTTGCTCATTTGGGTACTCAGCTTCCACCTGTGTCCCCTTGTTCGCGTCCCACCAGTGTTGAATAGTTCATCCTTGTTTACCCGGTCGATTCCCCTGAGGATTTTGTAGGTTGTGATCATGTCCCCCCTTACTCTTCTGTCTTCCAGTGTCGTAAGGTGCATTTCCCGCAGCCTTTCCTCATAACTCATGCCTCTTAGTTCTGGGACTAGTCTAGTAGCATACCTTTGGACTTTTTCCAGCTTCGTTTTGTGCTTGACAAGGTACGGGCTCCATGCTGGGGCCGCATGTCCCCATACTCACCTAGTTGTGTTTGTGTGTGTGTGTGTGTGTCAGTCACACACACACACACACACACCTAGTTGTGTGTGTGTGTGTGTGTGTGTGTCAGTCAGCTGTTGGTGGTAAGCTGCCGGTGATGCACACATAACCCAGCTGTACAGTGCATTAATAGAATCTGTAGATTCGACTATGTGGCTCATAATTGCATGATAGTGGTGGCACCGGGTACTATGACGGTGGTGGCACCGGGTACTATGATAGTGGTGGCACCGGGTACTATGATAGTGGTGGCACCGGGTACTATGATAGTGGTGGCACCGGGTACTATGATAGTGGTGGCACCGGGTACTATGACGGTGGTGGCACCGGGTACTATGATAGTGGTGGCACCGGGTACTATGATAGTGGTGGCACCGGGTACTATGATAGTGGTGGCACCGGGTACTATGATAGTGGTGGCACCGGGTACTTGACGCCAAAAGCTATGTTGAAGTTTTTGGTGTATTTAGTGCCAGAATGCCTTAGATATGGTGTTCAGTGAACTCTGGTGGATCATGGCGGTCAGTGAACTCTGGTGGATCATGGCGGTCAGTGAACTCTGGTGGATCATGGCGGTCAGTGAACTCTGGTGGATCATGGCGGTCAGTGAACCCTAGTGGATCATGGCGATCAGTGAACTCTGGTGGATCATGGCGATCAGTGAACTCTGGTGGATCATGGCGGTCAGTGAACTCTAGTGGATCATGGCGATCAGTGAACTCTAGTGGATCATGGCGATCAGTGAACTCTGGTGGATCATGGCGATCAGTGAACGCAAGTAGATCATGTCGTTAAGTGAACGACATGATCTGGCAATTACAATGGTGTTCAGTGAACTCCAGTGGATCATGACGATCAGTGAACACAAGTGGAACATGGCGATCAGTGAACGCAAGTGGAACATGGCGATCAGTGAACGCAAGTGGAACATGGCGATCAGTGAACGCAAGTGGAACCTGGCGATCAGTGAACGCAAGTGGAACATGGCGATCAGTGAACGCAAGTGGAACATGGCGATCAGTGAACGCAAGTGGAACATGGCGATCAGTGAACGCAAGTGGAACATGGCGATCAGTGAACTCCAGTGGATCATGACGATCAGTGAACGCAAGTGGATCATGTCGTTAAGTGAACGACATGATCTGGCAATTACAATGTCACACTGTCTAGCACCGTCTGGTTATACTGTATGGCACTCACCAGCCATATTACTGGTGGGTGCTAGCCATACTACTGATGGGTGCCAGCCATACTAGTGATGGGTGCTAGCCATACTACTGGTGAGTGCCAGCCATACTACTGGTGGGTGCCAGCCATACTACTGGTGGGTGCCAGCCATACTACTGGTGGGTGCCAGCCATACTACTGGTGGGTGCCAGCCATACTACTGGTGGGTGCCAGCCATACTACTGGTGGGTGCCAGCCATACTACTGGTGGGTGCCAGCCATACTACTGGTGTGTGCCAGCCATACTACTGGTGAGTGCCAGCCATACTACTGGTGGGTGCCAGCCATACTACTGGTGGGTGCCAGCCATACTACTGATGAATGTCAGCCAGCCTAGACAATGGGACGACATAGGATAACGAGGCTCAAATGCTTAAATCTTATTGGTTTTGGTGCCATGGTGTACCCAAAAAGAGACAGGGAGAGAGAGAGAGCATTATAAATAGAGGAAAAGCAAAAGACAAAGGGAGAGAAAGATATAGGGGAAGTGCATTAGATTTGGAGAGAGAGAGAGAGAGAGAGAGAGAGAGAGAGAGAGAGAGAGAGAGAGAGAGAGAGAGAGAGAGAGAGAGAGAGAGAGAGAGAGAGAGGTGAGAACAGGAAGAGAACGCAAACCATAGGGGAAAAGCAATAAGCTGCAGAAGAGAGCAAGAGATAATGATGGAAATAGGAGAGAGGAGAGAAAGGAATGGACAGAGGGAAAGGGAGTAAATGGGAGGAAGAAAATAGGAAAAGAGGAAGAAAAAGAGATGTCGGGAGAAAGCAAGACTGGGTGACAGTAGCGGAGCCAGCCAGTCTGCCGGCATGGAAAGCCTAGCAACAGTTCTAAGGCTTGCTTCCCTCCCCCCCGGCCCCCCTCACAACTTTAAATATCTGACGTCTCAACCTATCAGCCAGTTACCGCTGTCTAAGGCCTGACGTCACAACTCATCAGCCACTTACCGTTCTTCAAGACTTGACGTCATGGACTTTCAATCAGCCAAACGATTCCGAGGTGACAGCTACGAAATCTCCAACCTGTCCTCGACTCAAGTCCATTCCATCCAGCGGTCGACCCCACAGACGCAGTCATAAATTTTTACATGCTGTTCATTCAAAACAAATTTTCTTAAATATAAACTAATATTATAATATATTAGCATGTTGTGCATATATAGGCATAGGTTAGGTTAGGTATTTAGGTTCTGTTGACGATTATATGTATTTGTAGTACGTGGGTGAAGCATTTATAGCGTTGTGGTTCGAACAAAATTCGTCAGTGAAGCACTTGTTCCGGAAGTGTTCGACTGTCATCAGTTGTGAGTCGTGTGTAAACCGTTTTTCATTCATAAACAGCTGGGGGGTTTGGCGGGTGCATGGAATCACTTTTGGGTCTTTGTTTGGAGGACGGGCTGCATTTACAGCGTTGTGGTTGGAACAAAATTCGTCAGTGAAGCACTTGTTCCGGAACTGTTCGAACGTCATCAGTTGTGAGTCGTGTGTAAACTGTTTTTCATTCATAAACAGCTGGGGTTTTGGCGGGTGCATGAAATCATTTTTGGGTCTTTGTTTGGAGGACAGGCTGAAATTTCAGCCATTCAGATTCTGATTCCTCGACTGTTTTTTGGTTTGTGTTCATTGTCGGGAGATGGGGAAACGCAGATACATATAGATGCTTATATAATATAGTGCCTAATACCAGAAAGATACAGTATGTATCTTATGATGATGATCCCAGTAGCACAGTCGGGTTTCGTTCTCGCCTCACAATCAAGAATTCCGGGTTCGAATCCCGGGCGGGACAGAAATGGTTGGGCGTATTTCCTACCACCTAATGCCTCTGTTCGCCAAGCAGTAAGTAGG